CCCCCGGACAGCCTTATCAAACAAAAATGAAATCACAAAAGATATCAGTTACTGCAGCACACATTGCCAGCCTGAACATAGTTATTCAACAAAGGCAATGATAATTCAAAAACTATACCGTGGCTGATAGCGTGACGTTTCGAAATTCACTTCGCGACATGACATGCAGCTTTCCCATATAATAGATTCCTGACCACGTGTCGATGCAGTTCGTCTCGGTATCAGCAACAATGAAGTTGAACATCGCGTTACTTGTTTTGTGCGCGTTGTGCCTCGAGGAAACTCGTAGCGCGAGAATTCTGGCGATGATCGCGACACCGTCGTACAGTCATCAGATCCCGTACAGAAAATTATGGACGAGTCTGCACGAACGTGGCCACGAAGTCGTCCTCGCTACCACGAATCCTATTCCTAATATCAACTCGACGAGATTTAGGCAGATCGACATAAGTGAAAGTTATGGCAGTTTCCGAGCTACCAGCTTCCTCAAGCTTCGATTCGAAGGGGTATCTTGGTTAAGGTTCGCGCAGGAGAATTTGTTTCCATTGGTCGATGTTTTCACCGAGCATTTACTGAACAACACGGAAATGCGACGACTGTACGCGCCCGATAGCGATGCAAAGTTTGATGTGGTTTTGACAGAGTTTCTCTACATGCCGGCCACATATGCTATAGCGTACAGATTCAAAGCTCCTCTCATAGGTATTCTATTGTCCTCAACCTAGCCTCTAAAATTTAGAGGTTTATGTGATTTTTGGGTGGTCAAGGTTTATGTGACTTTTGGTTGGTCTCAGAATTTGATGACCACATGTGGAGGTTAGGGTGAATAGTTGGGTCAATTGGATTGATTTGTATAATTGGATCATCTGGGCTGGGGGATTTGAATATTTGAGAATTTGAAAATTTTAGCAGCTATTATTATTCTTAGGAGTATAAGAATTTGGGTATTTGTGTATTTGAGAGTTTGAAAATTTTTAGATTTTGGGGATCTGAGACATTAAACATTTCGAAATTCAGAAATTTGAGTATTTGGGCAATTTAAGTACTTAGAAACTTAAGTACATGTCAATTTGGGCATTTTTTTATCTGAAACCTTGAGAATTTTTTCATTTGAAACCATGAGAATTTCGAGAATGTCTAAGACATTAGACATCCACAATTTGAAATTTGAGAATTTAGGCAAGTAACTTGCAAGTAAAACAAACGATCTACACGAATCAAATCTACATAAATCTAATCATAATTTACTAATACCTCCAGTAACAGTATTTCGTATTTCATAGGATTAAGTTCATTAGGGCTAGTTTCCCTAAATGAGTTCGCACTGGGTGGATTCGTGCTACCTTCACACGAGTACACGTGGGAAATGGAGGCGAATACAGGCACGAACTTATCATTCTGGCAGAGGTTGCGGAATTTCGTGAACTTGTGGAAAATAACATATTTATTGTACCACGATCTATTTCCCCGTCAGCAAAAGATGGCTGAACATTACCTTGGGATGGAATTACCTCCGTTAATCGATATTATGAAGAACGTTAGCCTTCTGTTTGTGAATCAAGCGGAGGCTCTGACGCCGGCTCGTCCGCTGCTGCCGAATATGATCACCTTTACTTCTTTCCATATCGAGAAAAATCCTCCTCCTGTACCGAAGGTATGTTTCTAGATTAGAACTCTTGATATAGAACTCATTAGATATATTCTTAGAATGTAATATTCCCGGAATGTAAATTTCTGAGAACTAGTATTTAAAATGGGACAATCTATGAGATCCATGAAATTAGAAATGACAGGGCAATTAGTGATTCAGGGTATTCTTAATGATCGACCCTCCTTATTAAATAAAGCTAGATGCTGACAACGAAGTAAGTAGCTCTAACAATTATACAGATTAGCAAAGAGGAAATAAAGTCTCCACTCTGTCGTTCATCAGTTTCAACCCACAATTTTATCACAGGACCTGAAGCGTTTTATGGATGAGTCCAAAGAAGGATTCATCTACATGAGCCTCGGTAGCAACGCCAGAAGCGCGGACATACCAATGCACGTTAAACAAATATTCTTCGACGTATTCTCAAAATTACCCTACAGAATCGTTTGGAAGTACGAAGAAGACTTTCCGGTAAAACTGGACAACGTGTTCACTGCAAAGTGGTTACCTCAGCAGAGTATTCTTGGTACTGCCATTTATGTTTCATTGGACATATCGGAAATAGTAGTGCAATATTGTACGAGATTTCGTTGTATCTGTAGCTCATCCCAACATCAAGCTGTTCATATACCAGGGCGGATTGCAAAGTACGGAAGAGACTGTTAGCTTTACGGTGCCAGTCTTAGGCTTTCCGGTGTTGGCTGATCAAGATTATCAGACGAGTAGAATGGACGTACTCGGTGTTGGAAAGCGCTTGGAAATCACGACTGTCACGAGGGAAGAGTTAGATCATGCTATTAAGGAGATTATTACCAATAAAGAGTGAGTATATATGTAGTTTGAAGATATAGTTCAATTGATAGTATGCTTCATAGTCCAGTATGATCGCTTTATTCTCATGCTTCTTCTTTGCAACCACTTTGCTGATGAGTCTGATGTATGGCAAGTCCTACAAATAGGAACTAATGATTGCTTAAATTAATAATTAATTTTTTAGTACACTACAAACTTTGCATGCATGTTCATTCAAATATCCTCTGCTAGTAAAACTCAGTCTTATGAACTAGTCTATCAATATCTAATTCATCACAATTTAAGTCACCTTATTGATCAGCCACCATCCGTAAATTACCTTAACCACTTACATTTTTGTCACCATACCATTAATATTTTTATCTTTATTTTCGTATTACCTAGTCGAACAACATCGACAAATTTGAACAGTCCAATGAACAACAAAAACAGTTTACCGAAGTTAAATAAATTACAATTTACATCAAGAGCTACTCCCAAATCCTCAAAGGTCCAAGCTGCAAACTCAGCCAATTTTACTGAAAACAGCTCTTACTTCTAATTCTCCTTTCTACAAGAAAACATCTTTAACTCATCTTCTCTTTTTCTACACGAAAGTCTTTTACTTCATCTTCCCTTTCTCTACAAGAAAACATCTTTTACTTTGCCTCCTCCTTTTCTACAAGAAAATAGCTTTCACTTCTAGATCTTCTGTTCGGGAAATGAATTAATCAACTCGCGCGAAGGAAACATATATATTTAACACTGCACAAAATCTATTCTGCTTTCTGCGTTCATCAAGTTGCATTGATAATATTATAATGCGAAATAATTAGAATAAAACGAATTGTTATGCGTCGAATGCAAAGAATGTTAATTCTCTACCTCACAAATTAACCCAAGTCTCTTTTCTTCTTTTTGTGTGTTTTATTGATCTAACTTCTGCTTCTTAAAAATAATTAGGTCTCTCTACTGTCATGTAGATCTGCACGAAATTACATTTACAAAAATTTACATCTCAAGCACAAAATTATTATTATTCATCCAATATTGTGCAATGTGGCCATTGATTTAGATATAGAATGTTATCCATCGTTGCATAATATGGACACTGATTTAGATATAAAATTGTTATCAATCGTTGCTCAATATCACTGTTTCAGGTACAAGGAAAGGATGATCAAACTCAGAGAGCTCATTAGAGATGTTCCATACGATGCAGTAGACAATCTCGTGTGGTGGACCGAATATGTGATTCGTCACAAGGGTGCACCTCATCTTCGTTCAACTCTAACCTCGCAACCTTGGTACCAACGTTACGACCTAGACGTAGTGGTGTTCTTATCAATCGTAGCATTCGTGATCGTATCGACGTTGGTGAACATAATCGCCAGGATAATCGTGCGCATTCACAAGCAACTGTTAAGCTCTACGACACAAAAGAAAAAGATAAGTTAACGATTAGATAATGCATCAAGTATCATACGATTGCGTTTAGTCAGACTAATCGAAACTATTGCGTAAGCTCAATTAATAGAAGTGACAAGTGGACGTAAATATTACATAACTAAAGTAGAAGAATATTTTCACTAAGAATATACTGAAATATTTTTCTGTTGAATTTGTAAAGAGAACCGTAATTGATACATCTATTAGATATAATATTAGATCTAGTTTAAGACTATCAATAGACCAGTATCAATTTTTAATTGATTGCGTTCTGTGATAATGGGAAAATGTACGAGAATGACATATAAATGGAGTGTGTAACTTCACTTCTTTAGCAATAGCGTTAATTAACATCGACTTCCTAGAAACGTTCGTGAGCTTCAACGAGCGTGTATTCTTGCGTGGAGAACGAATACTTATCAATTCCCAGCGATATTGTACGTATTTGTTCCACATACGCCATATCATTGAACTTTCCTCGATTTTATACTTATGGACACTGTAATAAAATCATGTACGCTGTATATGGTATCAGTAACACTAAAGTAATAATAATAAAAATCAAATGTGCCGACGATTCGTTGAACTCGTTCAGTTGTATGAACCATGGAAATAAAGATTTAAGTAAAATTTAATGTTTCTATTTTTATTTATAATAATGTTTATTGATTACTGTTAAATATTTGCTGTTTGTATATTGTTTATTATATGTTTATATATTTGCGATAATAACATAAATATTTGTAACATTTTATAAAAACTTGTATTTCATTTTTAACCGACTTCGAAAAAGGAGGAGGTTACTCAATTCGATCAGTATATTTTTTTCTTTTTTTTTTTTTTTTCTATGTGTGCCCGCCGATTACGCCTAGCTGGATGGACCGATCGGAACGAAACCTTTTGCATCTGGTAGGTTCTGACTCCCCATTGGTACCATTATCAAAAAATTTTTCATTTTTTAATTGCAAAGTATTGTTATTGCAAAAAAACCGGCAACTTTTGAAATAAACTTTTCTCGATTTTAGTGTGCTTTTAATATCTTATCACGGACATGATTCTGAACAATTTTGTTCATATAC